GTTTGACTCTTCGCGCGCGCGAGAATCTACTCTAACTTGACTTGCCTTATTTGACTTGCGGCAACGCTGCTGTTTCCAGAGGGATGCTCTTGTTGTTTTTGCGCTAGTTTCTTTTTTGTTGCTTTTAAGCACATGTCGCACGCAGACGCTTATTTGCATATGTTTTTGCTTACACATATGTGTGTATTTTATTTTATTTAATGTTTTCGCCTTGGCTATCCGTGAAAGGGTGACTTTGCGACTCTGAGACGTTGTGAGGCGAGAAGCAAGTACTGAGTAAAAAAGGCAAACCAAAATGTAGCTTAAAGAAATAAAAAGTTGCAAACAACTTGTTTTTACTTTGGCTGATGCTGCAACGTAATATTGTACGTACGTAAGGCGACTTTTGATTTTTATTTTCGCGCTGCCGTCGGCGCCGCTAAGAAAGGACGGAAGTTTTCCACACAACTACGCGTGTTTTGCAAACTTTTCCGCGTTGCAGGCACACGTACGCTGTTTGCTAGTGTATGTGTGTTGTTTATGTTTTTTCTGTGCTTGTGTAAACACAAATTGTTTGGGTTTTTATTTATTGCGTTGGGCATACACGTTTTTTTAAAGCTCTTTGATTGTCTATGCATTTTTAAGGCATATGGTGGTAACAGCGTAGCTGTCATGCGGGATTTTGTCATGTATATACTCCCATAAGTACTTATACAAAAAAAAAATACAAACAAGCGCTTACACTTGCAATTTTTAATGACCGAAACAGCGTGCGATGTAGCGCACCTGATTTAGCAGGTGTGTTGTGATTGTGAACTTATCACGGGTCGCTGAAAAGTACATTTCCAACTCATTTAACGATGCAATGATGGCCAGTAAGTTGAGAAAAGCGCGTATTTACCTAACGGCAGCATGTGGCTGTTTTGATCTATTTCACCTACGTTCAACCTAAGCTAAAGCCAATGCACGACAGCTTGCCTAACTTGCGCTCTCACATATGTCCGTACATATGTATGTATGTTCACATATTCTATATGTATCTATTTGCATGCAAATGTATGGGTACAAGAATGCACGGATCCTGGCGTCACATACTCTCTACCCACCAAAGACAGCGAATAAACTTCATTACAAAGCCATGAAACTCGCAAATTGTGGTCGTTGTTCGACTCTTCTGCCTGTTTGTCTGTATGACTGCCTGCTGCCTGGACTTTTGGCACACTTGCTATTTTAGCGCCACTTTACACACTCTAGTGCCCTCTCTCGAGTTACTGCCTACGATGCCATGTATTGTTGCTGAAGCTAATAGCAATAACAAGCGTGACAACAAACACATACGTATGTATATTGTAAGTTCATATGTAACGTTACGTTGCTTTTGGTGATAAGGTTTACAAATTGGCGTAACCACATGTTGGATTTTTAGTTGCTAGTTGGTTTGATCTCGTGCTGTTTTGCTGTACCAATTGGGAAGCTACGTATGTGCTGGAATATGCAAGGATGTGTATGTGTGTGGTGTGTAAATTTGTATGCGGATGCTTCAATGCGGCTTGGGGTTATGGTTTTCGTATAAGTGCTTTGCGTTTGCTACCTTGGCGTTTTACTTATGGAAGTATGGTGTTGGCATTGAAATCGGTCAATCATAAATGCTTAGGAGCGTGAAGGACGTTCAAGGATGTGTGAATGCGTGAAGATTAATTGCTTTTAATTGCCTTGTTGGAAAGTGGATGCCAAGTGTAACAGATGAGTTTGTGCTTGAGTGGGATGGAAAGGTTTATTTTATAGAAGTGCCTTTGAAGAAATTTTTTAGATTTTCATTCATAAATGATATCAAATTAGTACAGTTTTTTGACAATGTGTACTCGTGATTAGTGCACCTTAAGGCCTTAACGGACATTTTTCGGAAATGCGTTATTTTCGCTCTGCCCAAGTTCAAGGCGATTTGTATGATATTTATTAGCATCTTCCGAGCAGCCTTCATTAGAGTATATGTACTATGTTCATATATTTATCTTAACGGTTGTTTGCATCCGTAAAACTTAAAAACAAACATTGGCTTGACTTCTACCAAAAATATTTTGCCAAATGCCTGGTAGGCTTTCGATTTATCATGTTGCAAAGTGGACATCAAAAGCGTACACGGAATCGGTTTTTTTTTTAATTTGAACACAAAAGTGCCTTTACAGTTTGTTGTTTTAAACAAGTTTCGTTGTAGTTTTTATTAATGAACTATGTTCTATTATTGGTTTATATCACAACTTTATGCTTAACAAACGAGTGGGCAGAACTAAGTATATTTTAGCACACAGGTTGTCTTTTAAGTCACCTGCGCCTCTGAGACGTATGTTTGGGCTCTACGTAACTCTCAAGTAGATCGGGCTTCTAGGGTTAAAGGCCGTATTCAAAGTACGTAGCTAACCACTTACAGGGTTTTAACTATAGATTTTAATATTCACAGTGCTCAGTCAACAAGTGTTTAAACATGAATTCCCCTATAGTTAAAGCCTTCTTAAATTAAAATTTTTTTGTACAACGAAATTTAACTTTGTTTGGAAAAATACTGATTTTAGTTAACAGTGTTTTCAACTGTAAATACGGAGGTATAGTTAAACTTCTGAGTAGTGGTTAAATTAACAATAGTTTAACTACGAACTGTGAACTCGATGTTTGCTGCTTATCTTAATTTTCCGTTAGAAATTTAGGCACAATGATTTCAATAAATTCTTTTAGTGACATATGGATATAATCATGCGAGACTTCAAAAAAAATTTCTTCATACCGCAATTTGAAAAAATTAAGTTTTTCAGATTTGAATAAATTTATATGAGGTGCCTACAATATTATATTTTTTGGTCATAGTTGAGATATTTTTTACCTATATTTCATTTAATGCATCTTATCAGTTGGTTACGATTAATTGCCGATATTTTCCCAATCGTTTCCCTGAGGACGTCCTTATTCATCTCTTTCCAATTTTACACAAAAAAAAAACGTATTGCTCTAGATTATTTTTAATCTTAAAAAATTTTCCGAATCTATTAAGTGATCGTGTGAGCACCTGTTTAGTTAGTCAAGCATCAACACCCAAGCCACAAACCAATAGTTATCGATACTTTGTATTTAGTGTAGTCATTTGGCATCACTTTTTGCTTAATTAGTGTTTTCGTCGTATGAACTCATAAACTTCCAAACAAAGGGTTATCTTTGATTATCAATTATTATTGTGAATGTGGGTCCAAGTATTACTTTCGAAATAGGAAAAGAACTATTAGACTTATAAAGCTGCACAAGTTTTGTTAAAGAGGTAAATATGTATCATTGCCCAGGTGAAAGTTAACTCATGACTTCCAAAACGTACTGCGGTAGTTAAACTGTTTGTATATGCAGAGTTGCGAAACATTGCAACCATATATGTATATTTAACATTTTGAATACTCAATATAACAATGATCATCCTTTCGGAATTGTACATCTTTAAAACACCAATCGCAAGTAGCGATGCGTTGCGATAACATTTCGGATGCGTTTTGCAAAAGAATACATTGTCAACATTTTATAGTTCGGCTTTATGGAACACTATACTTTGTACTTATTAAAAATTTTTGCTTATAGCTTACAGCTTAATATAAAAAACTAACTATAAAATATACTAAAAACTTGTATATGAAAAGTTCGTTTGCCGGAGAGAATCTAATCTACCTAATACACTAGGATTATCTTACGCCTTTTATCCTATAATGTGATCCAAAAAGTTGCATCTATAATTTTTAAAATATTAATTAACAGAAGTGGTGAAATAGACCTTTGGCTTTTCTAGGTCTGATCCCTGGTTCGATTAACATCTAAACATAAGAAAAGTGTTTTTTAACAACGAAACCTCTTAATGGAAAACCCATGATGGTATATCTTCCATGAAAGGGCTTCTTATACATCCATTTGCCGCTAGGGGGTGACGTAAAATATAAGTCCTTCCATATGTGCTTAACATCAAGACGTACACCACAAAATGAACGAAAATATCGTTAAAATAAGTTAAGACTATGCGTTTTTGCGCTGGAAGTATTACGTGATTACTGTACTTCAATAGACTGAGCCTTTTTAAAATTTCAGAAATACAAGACAATAAAATGTATTCATTTCACCAGGCGTTTTATGAAAGGCAGTTTCAAATCACTGTATGTAGTTTATCGATAAAAAAGTTTTTTATCAAACTCCACCGACTGCACACGATCTAGGCATTTTTATGCTACTTGAAGAAACTTGGTCGAACACATCCGTTGAGGTAAGGTTAAGTGTTTTTTAGACCTTAGAGTTTAACTTTTACTGACATAGTATTTTGGAACCAATACCGAATGTCTAAACTGTTTTAAGAGTCAAATTACACAAGAAAAACTGAAATTTTCTGAATAAAAAATTGTTAATACCGAACCACCTATAGCAAAATGCCAATGCTAATCGTAAAACAGATTTTTTATCTGGCAGTTTTTAAGAGACTTTCGAACTTAGATACAAGATGTAAAATGCCTTATTTGACAAATGTGTTACTACGAGAAAATTCATTAAATGGGGAATGCCTTTAGAGCTATTCTAAAAATTTATATAAATATCTTGCTGAACTGATAACAAAATAAAGGAATATTGAAAATTAAAATTGATGACCGCATATATGTGTTCGTTTCGTTTCGAAGTTATAAGTTTTAACTTCATTAAAAAATTTCACAAAAAATATATACAGTTTTTCTAAGTACTAATTGTCTAACTCTACCTGCACTCTAACTTCTCAACTCGTTTTTTTAATAAACTGCAGTCCATGCTAAAAATTTATAGTCAGCCAATTTTCCTAAGTGCGAAACAATTTTGTTGTCATCCTATTGCTCAATAATTTATTCCTGCCAGACACATTACCCCATTGCCAGCAATCACTAAACACGCCTTCAGTCTAACATTACTCCCAAGTTGCTGTCAATACAAATTTATAAATTCTATTACAAAATTTTAATATTTATAGTAAGTTGACTTACCTCAGTGCACATTATTGTTTGGCAAATAACGAAAATTTCTATGCCACTGCTCCTTAAGTTAGTTACTGGATGCCTGCACTCCTGTTGCTTCTGATGCTATGGCTTCTGACTTTGCTTCTTGTTGCTCACTATTTTCTTGTTCACAAGAAGTCATAAATTGTTAATTAGAATTAGTGATTTGTGGTTTCTTCTTGCTGCCACAGAGTGTTTTTATTTATCTTTCTTGATTTTGTATAACTCTTTTAATAATACTTTCTGTTCCTTTTGTGTTATGTTGTCTTAATTGTCCACTACTAATGTTTTGATGATTGTTCTTGTTATTGTTGTTATTGACAATTTCTCATTATTATAGTGGCGCTTGCATTTACTTTTTGTTTGTTGTCAA